GCCTTAATTTAAGAATATTATTATTTAATAAATATTTTAAAAATCAATAGTTGAATTAAACAATTTATTTATATAAATTATATATATCAATTTTTTAGTAACATTTATTATCATTTGATCTAAAAATTATATTTTTTAACATATATTTAATAATATTAAATTTTATATTATTAATATTGTAGTTAAATAATATTTTTTAATTATTATGTTGTAAAATATGTTAAATCAAAAAATATACTAATCATTGTCTTGATTTAAATATAACATAAAAATCTAAATATCTTAAATTCTAAAAGTTTTGAAACCTAAATTATTAAGAGATTTTTTAATATCTGCCTTAAGCATCATTAATTATAATATCTATATATATACAAAATGCTACCCTATGCATTAGATAGGGTAAGCATTAGATATGGTAAGCATTATATATATATATATATATATATTTATATGTCCAACCCAACCTAAAGTCTTCCTTCCCAGTTCCCAGGCACCATCAATACCTCGTCCTGAGCACACGTTCGGGTGGTGCCAAACGTTGGAGAATAAACTAAGCTCGGCTTGACGCTCACGTTTTAAGAAATGGACGTATCGTTGCCCAACTTCACCGCATAAGGCCCGTGGGGGATTGCGAAGTAAAATCCATCAAGATGTGGCCCCCCTGAAATGTACTCCACTAAGCCTTGGATTTCCCACTCCGGGAGTGAGTACTTTCCTTGGATAATTGTTTTCTTGAGATCTAAATTTTTGGGTGTTCACTCAAAGTTACCATTTTTTAGAAGTCCTGGCAAAGAGAAGGCAAGGAACTTGAAAAATCACTCAACGGAAGGTATAAAACACTTGAAACCATACCTCGATCTCGCATTCATTGGCGCAATAATTTATTTTTAGCAAAAAAAATTTTGGTTTTTCAAATCCGGTGAATTTTCTTGGGTGTGGTAGGTTGTACAAGAAGCTGAGGTATGTCAACCGGCTGCATTAACGATGCCATCGTGAAGCTAAGAAACCGATGTCCCAACCAAAAGGAAGCAGTTTTATGATATGACAATTGCATGTTTCGATACTCAAATCGTTCTATCTACGGCGAGGGAAGTGGTGCTGCCATTTATATGTGGAATTCGTACAACACCACGAATGCCAGTGCTTTCAATGACGCCCTTGGTACCCTGTTGGATAGCTCGAAGACGAGAGCAGCGTCAAGCGGTTCTCGTCCCAAGTTTGCAACGGGGACATCCGCAGTTCTGCCATTCGACACAATTTATGCACTTGCACAATGCACTCCTGACTTATCCCAGCTGCAATGCACCTCTTGTTTGGATGATTCTATTACACACATTCCGATTTGTTGTAATGGAAAACGAGGAGGCAGAGTGGTTGGACGAAGCTGCAATTTAAGGTTTGAGATCCATTTAGGGATGGCAACGAGTCTCCACAGGGGCGGAGACCCCCTTCCCATCCCCATCTTCACCAATGATAGGTACGAGGATCCCCACGGGGATTTTTGGTAGAAGATCAAAAATAGCCTCCATCCCCATACTTGTGGAGAATGATAGGTCCCGCGAGTATTTGGAGTCCCCACCAAATAAAATTATCACATGCTCTACTTCTTTTTAATCAAAATTTTCATTGCTTGTTAATCAAAATTAAGTTCAACATGAGTCTACTTAGACTCCCCTACGTTTCATATTTATCAAATAAAACTAACTTAAATAATTATAAAGTAAAAATTTGAAACAAGATAAACAAGCAATAAATATACAAAGAGGTCTAGCAAGTTAGCAACAAGTTCATAAAAAAAAAAAAGCATAAATTACCATGAAGTCCAAAAAATCCAGCAAAAGATTCATTAAAAAAAAGGGACATAAATTGCAACTGTCACACAAGTTTAAATTCAGCAAATTTCATAGAAAAAAAATACAAAAACTACTGCCATAGATGTCCAACAATAAGCTCATCAAGAAAATGGGCATAAAAGAGTCTAGTAAGTGGCGTACACATCCATCCAATTCAGGAAGGCAAACTCTGTAGCAGCAACTTAAACTAAGCTTGATCAATAATTTTAAGTTGAGGAAATAACTTCCTGAAACAAAAACAAGTATCCCAAGTTAATAAAATTTTAGAAAAAATTCTTTATATAATAATTTATATAAAGAAATACTACTGTTTAAAATTTACCCCAAACTCATCATCCCCATCATCATTCTCCTCCAACTCCTCAAATATATTGAAGAAATTCTCATCATTGTTAAAACCTAAATTTCAAATATAATAAAAGTTTAGCATACAAATTAAAAAAATAAGAAAATAAAAGAAATATAACCTTAATTTAATACCTTTCAAATCTTTCTTTAACCAATCTTGAAGAAATAGAAATAAAAGAAATTCCCATAATTTTAACTACTCTTTGTTCTAGCAGAAATAGAATATCTAGAGCAGTAGCTACATTTAGACAACCAGTTAATCAGTTCATTTTTACAAGAAACACCATGTGACATGTGACATGTGACATCGTTCACAGTGATAGCGTTTTGAATAAAACCATAAAGACAAATCTCGATTTCCCTGTTTTCATTACGCCAGTACGTTCTAAAGAATCTAAACTGAAATTTTTAGAACATAAAACCAAAATGCTGAACTAAATTCATTAAAACAGCTGTTATATTCAAACCTTCTTACGATTAAAAGAACTTGAACAAAGTAGTCAGGCAGATGAACATCAAAGTTATGAGATTATTGCCCATTCCTTTCAAAGGTTGCCAAGAATGATAGGTTGAAAGAAATTGACCAATTGAAAAATAGAAACAAATCCAGAGGAGAGGAGACTGGAGTCTAGCAACGCAGATTCGCAAATCTTAGAAATTTGAAAGTCCTTTTAGTTCTAGGGTTTACTAGCAAACTAGGTTGGGCTTGGGCAATTAAGTTTAAGAAGATTATGGACTGGATTGGACTTTAAAATTGATTTTGGAAAAACTGAAAAAAAAAAAAAGATTGATCAATTAATTAAGTTGGGTAAGTATAAAATTAATTGTTAATATATTTAAAAATATATATAAATAATTTTATTTTAGATAAAACCTCTACATTTCCCCACGAGACGAAAGAAATTCCCTACGAAATTTTGCTGGAAAAAAATGCCTCCATCCCTACCCCATGGGAGGAATATTCTCGAAATCTCCATCCCCATGACGGGACGGGGATATCCGCAAAACTTCATGGGTTGTGGAGGAAATTTCCATCCCTAGATCTATTCTTTCTACAATGTTACTGCTGATCGACAACCACCATCACCACCGCCACTGTCTCCTACGCCCACAAATGGTACCACAAGATTACGACCGGGTAAGGCAGAGTCAGCTGTAGTTCTGAAACAATTCAGCACTTAATTAATTAGACTTCTTTGATGAAAGCACCATCTTGATTTTGTAGGAGAAGAGGGGAATTCATCTCGGAATATCATCATGATAGTGGTTTCGACCATTGTTTCTTTGATTTTTATCATCCTCCTCTGCATCTGCATCCTCTCCGGGGTGAGTCAATCAAAGAAGATTGTTGAAAGTAAGTCTAAGCTGATGTTCTTTACTATATTCCTGGGAGCATTTTTATTCCTTATACTTTAAAAAAAAAGGAGCAGTTTCGTCCCCATATAAATAAATGTCACTATCGTCTCTGTTTTTTTTTTTTGGTAAGACACTGTCAAGAGAAATTACCTCAAAAAAGAGAAAAAATAAACATTTTCCCCCTCTACTTTCAAACAAGAGAAATTCATCCCTCTATTTCAAAAAAGAGGCATTTTTTGTGCCTCCTCTAACCCAATTACCTCATTAATTCTATGGACAAAAAAAACTTATTTTTTAAAATAGAGACACGAAGGTGAATTCTTTTGTTTATAGATGGATGGAAGTGCCCTTTTTTCAGAAGTAAAGAGACAAAAAGTAGCTGACCCTAATTTCTCCCTCCCTTTTAGCCAAACAACAATTTTCCAGATCTAACCACCAGCAACCACAATGACCTCCTAGGGTCCTGTTTTACCCATCTCCATTACCCAGCACAATGAAGGTAAGAAGAAAGAGAAACAGAGTCAAGAAAGAGAAGATCAAGCTAAAAGTGAAGGCAGAGGAGGAAGTTCAGAAGAAGATGAAACGGTGATATGATCAGGTAGGCTTTCCTTGCTGCTTTTATTTTCATTTTCTGAGATTCTAAACGGAATGATGTTCTTTGGCTTCAATGAAACCAAAAGAATTATTTTTTAAGAAGAAAAACATTGCCCAGGGGCTTTGCCGCCTTAAGCTAAGGTGGGCAGTGGATTACCGCCCAGCACCTAAGTGGTTCATAGGGCCTAGGTGCCACCTTTAACAACGCTGCTTATAGGAAGGGAGGAAGGGCAAACCAAATACTTTGAAGGTGAAATGCATTTCCATGTCAAAAGGTAACTAATACATGAAAAATAATATAAGGGACCATGAAGCTGCATAAACTTTCAGAGGCTTTACATCTGCATGCTACAAATAAAATACTATGTCATGTGATTACCTAGATCAGGAGGTTTGCTGCTACTGCCAGGATTGGGTAAGGTCTCCTGAGACTTTGTCTCCATTGAAAGCATCTTCAAGGATATTCTCCTCAAGTAGTCTGACTTAAAAGAAAGGTCAACAAAAACTTCAGATCAAATGGGTTTTAGGTCTTCAGAAAAGAAAGTAAGTTAAAAGAATGTGTTTCATGCTTCACAAATGATATCCTTTTCACTTTCTTCATTTATCTTTCATTTGTTTACTCTTTGGAGTACTTTAAGTAATTAAACTTGAGTTAGGATAATAGGATCTATAGAAAAATAAAAGAACAGAAGAAATGCACATAATGACCGGTAAATATGCACACATACTCCAAAAGATTCACATATGCTCTTGACACTATCCGATATGAAAAATGTACAATTGCCTATTACCTGGCTAGTTGCAGCAGTATAAATCTTTTCCTCAAACCTTATAGCAATTTTCCTCAGCTCATTTAATCCCTCATCGCTAGAACATGGAAGATGCTGCCTCAATGTCTCCATTCTGCATATATAATACATAATATTAGTAAAAAAATATCTTTTCTTAGCTGATCAAAAAAGAAAACAATACGTTAAACTTGTGATTTTCTAACAACACATATCTGAAAAGTTCAATGGGAAGATGCATTAAAATGGTATCATGATATTGAGAATGCAAAAGGATAAAGAAAAAAGGGGAGGGTACTTAAATGTTTGCACAAATCCAATCAAATTTAACCAACAACTTTTCCCTCAAAACCAGCTCAGAATGTCTACACATCAGTCCTCAGAAGCATAAGTGTGGGGAAATTAATAAATATTCTCTCAACGTAGAAAGATTAGATATCATGACATGCACAAATCATTTTCAACTAATATGGCTAACATTTCACAGGGAAAGATGATGTTCTAGACAAACCCAAGCATTTCAAGAAGGCCAATTATGTCAGTAGGTTAGTAACAGTTTTCAGATAATCCAGTCTCTCCCCCCAACGCACACATGTACACAAACAAACACAAACAGAAGAAAAAACAAAGTTCCATGGCACAGATTGATATGGTTTTCCCAAGCTGTCCCAAAACACAGCTCCATTAGTTGATTGGCAATACATAACAGATTAACTACAAGAGCTAGGCAGAAGAGATGGTTTCCTACCATTGCAGATAAATGCTTACTCTGCAATTCTAAATACGAAACAAATACACATCTCTTTTTCAAATGTAAGTTCACAAAGGAAGTTTGGGAAAAGCTGTGTGAAACGGCAGGAATCCCATTCACTGACACTTGGCAGGGAATATTAGCATGGATGGGAAAGAAAATTAGAAGAAGTCTCTACACAATGTCCTTATAAACTGGCATGGACTGCAGCAATCTATCATATTTGGAGAGAGAAATAGACAAGTTCACCAGCTGAGATATCGATCTGTGGTGATGCTTGTTTGAAATGTCCAGTTTGATGTTTGAATTTTGAAGTCATATCCCGAGATTTGCTAAGCCCAAGTTTTTCCCCTTATCCATGGCTATTGCATTATAGCGGGGGATTGAAGCTGTTGTGAAAGATGGGGTACAGTAGTTTTGTTTTTCTAATAAGTTTTTGATAGTTTGTAATTGATTGTAGCAGCAAATTGCTGCTTCTTCTACAATAACAGTGGTTTGGATAAACGAAATTTCACATTCTATCAAAAAAAAAAAAAAATGTCAGGGCATGTTAAAGATACGGTTAATTCAAAGGTAAAGGATTTATTTTTGCAAGTTGCAACTTAGAATATGGGCTCTTCCATACCAGAGAGATAAGAATGAGCGTGTTTTTGCACAAAAGGATTTGGTTGCTAGACATAGGAATAATGAAGAAGCTTAGGATTAATGAAAGATTTAGGTCATCTGGGTTAGTTGTATTGTAGATATAACTGCCAGGTGTACACACAAAATTACAGCAGCCAGAATCTTAGAGATTCCACAATGAAGATAGAAGTAGCAAAAGCCGTTTGCTAGGATGGAAGTTATATTTTATGGTTAGGAAATGCCGACAGGACTCACTTTATTTTTTTCCTTTTATTCACCTGAAACTAGCTCTCCTACAGATTTTTTTTTTTTTTTGGTACACAGCTCTCTTATAAATTTATTTGCACAACAAACAATAAACCTGGGAATAGTTCCCCTCAGGGCAATAAGCTTAACTTTTAGAAAAACAGATTAAGCAATCTACAATCACCTCACTTTACGCAAAATAGTTTAACTTACATCTTGTTGACAATTTCTTGCCGTGAACCAGGCTGTAACTGGGTTCTCCAATCAGCCGTGTCCATGGTGGGCTCTCCGTTAGGAGCATTAGGCCTCCAGTTGTTGGCATCCATTGTATATTGAAAAAAACCCTAACATAGAGAAGATTATCAGATCCTAAGTTTAAACGGAAAATTCTGCAGTAGAAAACAAATTCAGTATAATCTCAAGTTAAAAGTTCGTTAATTCGAGCAGATCTAAGAGGAAAAGCTAAGACAGCCATTAAAAGGATCTTGCCGTAGAACACCAGAAAACAAACAACAAAACCTAGCCAGAAGAAAATGGAAACAACAAAAATGCTTCGGTTGGGTGGGTCTGTACTCACCTTTCTAGATGATCTGAGGGCGCGGAGAAAGAGAAACGAGCTATAGAGCGGGACAAAGGATTGACATTCTTCGCCAGAGGGAAAGGAGAAATTAAAAAAAAAAAAAATTCGTCGACCGGACGTTCTGCTCGTATTTAATGAAAAGAAAAAGAAAAAGAAAAAGAAAAAGAGAAAAACAGGGCTTGGACTGGTAAAAGGGGCCAATATCATGTGTTACTATTTTACGATTCAGTAAGGTAGAATAGGTTTTTGTGCATATATATATATGAAAAATTATATATTTATTTTAATTTAA